AGTTCAAATCAAATGGTGACAAGTTTGTATTTTTGTGATTTCCCAAATCTTGGACTTGGATTCTGAATTAATTAGAGAAAATTACACTCAGATCCCACAGAGCACAATTAATATCAAAAAGGTCCCATGAAATCACAAAATGATTCTGAAGTTCCCAGGGACCTGTGTGTAATTAATTCTAATTGTGAAATTACCTACTTACCCCTGTTAATTTTATTGCAACAATTCGTTTACAATCTCAACAATGGCTGTTAACAACCCGAGAAGACATGATTGACAACCTCGGCAGTGCTCATGACAACTCACTCTGTGGAATGCCAGGGGCATTATTGAGGTTGTTAACCACCTCTTCTCGGGTTGTTAACAGCCACTGTTGATGTTGTAAATAGGTTCTAATTTTATTGCAGCAATTCGTTTACAATCTCAACAGTGGCTGTTAACAACCCGAGAAGACGTGATTGACAACCTCGGCAGTGCTCATGACAACTCACTCTGTGAAATACCAGGGGCGTTGTTGAGGTTGTTAACCACCTCTTCTCGGGTTGTTAACAGTCACTGTTGAGGTTGTAAATAGATTCAAATTAACAGGGGTAACTACATAATTTCACAATTAGAATTAATTACACACAGGTCCCTGGGGACTTCAGAATCATTTTGCGATTTCGAGGGACCTTTTTGATATTAATTATGCTCTGTGGGACCTGAGTGTAATTTTCCCAATTAATTATTATCATGAGTTCATCAGGACACGTACGTTCGTGTTCTTTTTCATAGGTACATAACATAGACAACAGAAAAAAATACTCGAGTAATGTTTGTACTATAAAGTCACAAGGGGTGACTGCTATTTTAATGAATCGTACGTACAATATGTTCCATGGCCATGCCATGTTCCTAATCAAAAGTAAAAGCCAATCCAATTGGGATATCGATTGATTGATGATATATATCTTTCGTAAATAAGCTCAGACCAAATCCAAGCCCCAAAACAGATGATAATTATTTATGAGGTAATTATAAGCGGAAAGGAACAATAAAGCAAGGGACGAATGGGCCTTATCTTGATAGCAAGCAGACACATATATAGTTAGTCCCTCAAGTCAGTTTATAACTTCACTCACTAACTGGATAAAAGGTGTGTTTGAGAGAAGAATTAAATACTTTGTAAAACTTATTTTATAACATAAATTATACTACAAAATAAATTTTATATTTCCGACGAGATCTAAATAATGTTCAATTCACTCATTAGTCACTCGTGCCCACCAGCATAATGTATATGCGCGTGATATGATTATAAAAACAACAGTAGACATCAATTTTGAGGGAGACTCAGGGTATCTCCATTGATAGAAAGCTGAGGCATATATAGATGGCAAGGAAGGAAGTGGGTGTGACGCGGACGATGATGTGAGGAGGGTATTTAGGGTTCCCCTAATTGGATTGGTACAACCAATCACTGCTTATTAAATTGATCACATAATTACCTGTTTTGTTTTTCACCTTTCATTCTTTTTTTGCCTCAGTGATATACTACTACAGTTTTGTCGTATTATTTTTGCATGCTTCCTCATTTCAATAACAGGGCAAAAGTAGAAGGAGTGATTTTTAATTCGTGGGTTTTTTTTTTTAAAAAAAATTGTAATTGGAAAAATAATAAAGGAGAAGAAAAATGTAAATTTACTATTTATATGTAATACAAAAGCTTCAATAAGTAACACTATTCATGGCAAAGACAATAAATTTATTTACAATGCATGAGGCCAACATTAATACATTTAACATGGCTAAATTAAAACTGAATAAAAATGATCTGGATTGACCGATTTCTTTGATTAATTACTAGGCAGTATAATATTCTTGCTCAAGAAATAATTGTTATCTATGGCGAGATAAAGAGTAAAATATCATTCATATATATTTTTTTCCACTTGATTATTTTGTGGCTAACATTTTATAATTATATTGACTAACTTTGTTGGTATTTTTGTTTGGTGAATGATGATCGATGAGTGCTCGAAAGTGTATTCCAGCTATTGTTTTCTACGATGATTTGGTTGAAAATTAATGAGATCATAAGAAGATGATTCCAGAGAATCTTTTTCAAGATTTTAAACCCGTGACAGTGCACAGGTGGTTCAACTTGGAATTAATAACCATTATTAGTAGCTCAATCGCCCTTGAATTTTGGTTGTTTGGCTAGTATATTTTGATCATGTGTAAGAAAAATTTAAATAATACTATGTCACGAAGAAAGAAGAAAGCTGAGATAAATCCAAATGAAATTAATTTTTCTTATAAAATATAAATTATATCACAAATTATACAATATTTACAAAGAATCTGCGGGGAAAGACGTCTGTAATTTAAATAGTGTGGTGTGTGTGTGTGTTATTAAAGTGTTGAATATATACATTATATTATCAGAATGGATATGTGAGGAGATAATATTGAAAATATTAGGGTGGGGGCCTTTATCATCATCATTATTATTAATTTAAGAGAAAAAAAAAAAGAGAGATAGGGCAATGCCAGAGCGAAATATGAAAATAGGTTTCCTGTAAAAAATTCTTCCTTTCATCATTTGATTGCCGAACACATAATAAATAAAGTACACAAACATAGATGGCTTTTTATTTCCAACGTCTTTTCATATTCAATAAGAGATTACGTATATATAGTACAACACACTATATAAAAATTAAAAATAAAAATTAATTATTATTTAACATTATGCGTTTTGAATTATTTTAGTGTGTTGTGTATTTTGCTTAGGGGTGTTTGGATGGAATGAAATAAACTATAGTCTGAAAATAGCTTCTGGAGAATAGATTTTGGGGAAATAAATTTTGTCAGAATAGATTTTTGAAAAAGTGATTCTGAGAAGTGAAAGTGTTTAGATAGTTGTTATTAGAAACATTAATATATATATAAATTACTAAAAAAGACATAAGTTAATATGATAATTACATAAAAGATAGATTTTATGATATATTTTAATTTGAAGGAATAAAATTGTTAATTATATATTTTTTACTAACATAATTAATAATACATAAGATAATATAATTAATGAATAATTAATATGGGTATATATATTATAAGATATAAGATAATATGTTTATAAAAAATTAATTGATGGATGTTAAAGTCATATTATTGTGAGATTTATTTGACAGGCACAATCATACTCTCCAATTTGAGCCAGAAATATAATGGACTCACTTCTCCTAAAACTATGGTTTTGGGTTCCAAAATCATGGTTTCAGATTATGCCATCAAAATTAATATGTTTAGGTGACATTCCAACAAACTATAGTTTGCCTCCCAAACTATGATTTTAAGAGTCACCCAAACAGTCTCTAATATATGTTAATTTCTCTTGCTCACGAGTTTAGATTTACAGATCATGTTCTGTCCATTTGCTGGAAAGAATCAAATAATAAGGGGAAAAATGCAAACATTCTTATTGATCTTTCTTTATTCGTCTGCTACCAGCTTCAATTCCTTTAATTTTTTTTAAAATATTCTTATTTTTATGTATTCTTTCACTGTGTTATTTGAATTTGGATTTGTTATATGTGAAATCACGCGTCAAGTTGAACATTTAATTAATATCAATATTTAAAATATTAATACCTCTTGTCATTAATACAAGACTAAAGATTAAGAAAGCTAAATAAATTATTTTAAATTATTTATATTATCATTTTTAAAATTAATTTACCTATTTATAAATTGATATATAATCTAATGATATGTATAAGTATTTAAAAAGATCATAAAAATACATATTATAAAAAGTCATTATTCAGTTTTTTTAATATCTCTAAATTAATCAATTGATCTTATATTAAGTACCGATATAGTATTACATGCCCATAAATACAAGTATGTCTTTACCGCATGTTGCACACTGCAGATATACAATTAATATCTTGATATGCACCAAAGTAGATGTTCTAATTTTTATAATTTTGTCGAATAAAATATAAAATTAAAAGATAATTAATTTTTAGTCTCATTAATTATATTTTTTAATTTATTTATAATTTATAAATAAAATCTTATAATTAAAACAGATGTAAGTCATCACAAGGCAAAATCAAACGAGGGGTAAAAAGATTTGACCATTACATTCTGCCAAAATAACGAGGGGAGAATCCAAGGACAGACAAAAAAAATTATTTCTTTCGCCTCAATTATATGTTATATTTGACTTTTGATGTCCTTTAAAGTTCTTCTTCTTTATTATATGAATAATAATATTAAATTTTCGTCTCAATCTACTACGAGAAGATTTTCGTAAAATGAAAAATTTTTGTAAAACCAGCAATAGTTAAGGATTAAAAAATAATAACCCGAAGAAAAAGGGGCGATAAATCTTTCAACCATGCATTCATATCTACGAAGCTAAATAATTAATTAAAAAGGAGCATGACTTCCTCAGAATATTTTCACCTGGACTTCGCCTCTTTTTTTTTTTTGCCAACGAATTTACCTATTTCATTGTCACCCCCATAAACAAGTATTTTTAATTTCATTATTTTTCAAAATTATATATTAAGAATATAATTGAGATTGTATGTAGAAAAAATACATCGAGAATTTATTTGAATTATATTGTACTTTGTAGCATGCAATGAAGTTTTGGGGCGAGTGAGAAGCACGAGGGTGATAGAGAGTGGAGGGAAGCCAGTAATGAACAGTGAAGGCGTCGCGTCCCCAAGGGCCCACCACCATGTGAAATTGCATATACAGTAACACCATTCAACACCTCTCTCTCCCTCTCTCTCTCTCTCTCTCGTTAATCTGAGCTGAGCTTTGCATCAGAGCGTGTCTCTTTCATTCATTCATCTTATGCTTTTTACGTCCCATCACCAGAGCCTTCCCTTTTCAATTTCCCCTTCTCTACTTCCTCTTCTTCTTCGTCCTCTCTTCCTTAAACCTAAACCTAAAACAAAAACCCCTCCCTTCTTATATATCTTCAACATTCAACATTCAACTGCCAACTAGCTCCACCGAAAAATTCGTTGATCTCATCATGGAATCAGCATCAGGAGGTTCCGGCCCCGGTGCATCCGATCCTAACAGCACGGAGGATCCGTCGGGGAGTACCACCACCGCTGCCCCTCAAGCCGAGGGCTCATCATCGCCCGCGCCACCGAGTCGCTACGAGTCGCAGAAGCGACGGGACTGGAACACCTTCTTGCAGTACCTGAGGAACCACAAGCCGCCATTGACGTTGGCGCGCTGTAGTGGAGCTCATGTGATCGAGTTCTTGAAGTACTTAGACCAATTCGGAAAGACCAAGGTCCACATAGCTGGGTGCCCCTATTTTGGCCACCCGAACCCCCCAGCACCTTGCGCGTGCCCGCTGAAGCAGGCGTGGGGGAGCCTCGACGCCCTGATCGGACGACTGAGAGCGGCCTACGAGGAGAACGGTGGACGGCCGGAGTCGAACCCGTTCGGGGCGAAAGCCGTGAGAATTTACCTGAGAGAAGTCAGGGAAGGGCAAGCCAAGGCCAGAGGGATTCCTTATGAGAAGAAGAAGCGAAAAAGGCCTACGGTTACCGCAACTAAGGTGGATGTCAACACGTCCGCAGGGAATACTGGCAGTGGTGGCGACGGCGAGAGTAAAGATGGCACTGCTGCTAGTGCCGCAAGCGGTGGTGCTGACGGTGTTGACGCCACTGTTAGCGGAGGTGGATGTGTTGCTGCTGCCTCAGGAACAGGTACAGGTAGTGCTACTGTTACTACTACGACAGTATAGTATTTTAATTCAATCATTTTGATAACTTTTTTCTTCTACCTTTTCCCACTACGATCTATTTTTGGTTTCAAGAAAATTAATTGTGATTACGGCCTTATATAAGTCACATACTCTTGGCGATCTTCTCAGACTGACGGAATCGACCCCCCCGGTCAAAATTAACCTATTGGAACTATAATATATATAATATATATATATATATATGCATAACTGCATATCCATAAATGTATAGCACTCTTGTTGGTTACCAGCTAGCTAGGTCAATCACCAACTGTTTGTTCTTTTTCCTTTGTTCAATTGCGTGTAGATCGAAAGAGCTCGATGAACTGAACCTACAAGCTCTGGTTAACTTTGCTCCTCTTTTCCTATATATCAACCTTAACTCATACTTGTGTAACCGTGAAACGCGAAAGTATATAGATAGCTCCAAAAGCCTTTCATTTTCTGGCTGAACTCATGCTTCGTCTCTCTCTGTTTGATTTGGGATTACTGTTCAGGGCGTGAGAACTACATTCTCACTAGGTATACTATGCCACCGAGGAAACTTGCAAGCACATCATTCATTTGCTTTCATTATGACGTTTGGTTTTTTTGTCTTGACCTGGTGGTGAGAACGCTGATCCAATCACAACTGGGCACTTGCATAATCAATCCGGTGAAAGTTAAGGCTTTGAACACTGAAACTTAAAAATCGCTATATGATAGCCTCAGCTATCCATCCTCTCTCAATTCCTCCCTTGGCTAAATGGAAGTAATTAATTGGGTATATAATAGCCCTTAATTGCTCCCTCTACCCCCATAATTGAAAATCATTTCTCGTTTGATTTTGCTACTAGCTTAAGCAAGAAATTAAGGCAAAGACATTGAGAATATGGGTCAAATAGGGTCCAATAATGGCCTAGTTTAGTAATTCATAAGACCAGTACTACTCCAGGAAACTGTTCATCTGGACCCCAGGGAGGTTCTCTGTGTAGATCGATCTGCTGGCCTCAATCTATCTGTTGTATTGACGTACACGTGCGCTTGTATCATTTTACACATTCTTCAGCTCCTGTTTCAGGTGGCTTCTCTTTACAATTCGGGTCGAAGCATTTTGTTGGCATTATATCGTTGGCTTGGGCATTAAGATTTTGGCTTTATTTTGTGGTGTTTTTGGGATTTTAACTCTTTCATCACCTTCTTGTTTTGTTCCTTCCTTACCTTGCCTTTTTCTCTGTTCTAAGATACCTATAATTGACATTTCTTTCTGTGATAATAACACCCCTAGAAAAAAATAGAGTCTACAAAGCATCAATGAAAATAAAAACTGATCCTCTTGTGATTGCTGCTCTTATTTATTCATTTATTTTTATATGGGAAACCCCCGCCTAAGCATGAAAGCGACAGCCAGCCAACCATTCCTCACTTGCATTTATAAATATTATTATTTATTTTGTCTATTTTTATTATTATAAATCCTAGCTACGATTGATTATGTTGTGTTGTTATTATAGCATAGACCCACCAGCCACTCCAAAAAAATCCACATTTCTGAATTTTAAATTGAATCGGATTTTTGGACCGTCCACTAAAATCATGAATCATCATCATCTACTCATAATGATGGACCGTAATGTATTGAAATTATTTCCTGGATTGCTTTTTTGTTTGGTTCTTCTTTTTCTGGCATTATTTTTTCTTCCTACGCTCTTCTCTCTGACTATATATAATGAATACTTTCCATATAGCGAGAACTTTCGCTTTCTGGCCTTTTGTGGAACCACATAATTTCGTATGGGGCACTTTATTTCTCACTTTCCTTTGTTTTTTCTTTATTACGAGCGGTGGCCCCTGTTTCTCAAGAATATTTAAATTTATCGATCCTTTCTTCTTTCATCCTCCAACCTTTTCATAACTGTAAAACAAGTTCTCTCTCCAAATTAAACAAGGTCAACATGAATTTGAGAAGGGTATATATTTGTCGCGGCTGATCCATATTAAACCTTAAACGCTCTCAATCAAACATTAAAGCCTATGTTATTGGGCAAGCATCAGGTAGAGCGTGCATGTCCTGTGGACTTTGAGGTCGAAGTGAGGGGCCCCAAATCAAAACCCTAATTAGCTTGCCTTTGGTCTTCACATTCTGCAAATTTATTGATTGCTTTTGGTCCCTCACTTTGACAGAACAGTCCATAATAGGGCCATGATGTTTTATCTCACAAAACGCGTTCTTGCTCATGTGTCAATATCAATGACGCGAGTTACGACGTTGGTAAAACTCAGTATATGAATTTATGAACAACATTTTACAGAGCTGAAAAATTCATAAATCCTCCCAAATCTCGGATTCATATATCTATCAAACTCCTCATAGCTTCTAACTAATATAACATGGAACCGATGCGAACCAATCACTGCATCGCAGCACAGTGTGTTAGTAAACTAATACTGATCATGGGTGCCTCAATCTTGCCTCTTATTTTGAGCGCGGCGCCTAGGGCTTTCAACTTCCGCTAGTTTTGACCTGAACGCATTTCACACAGTGGGGTGTGGACTATCGGTCTTCTTCGACGTAACCGTGAGGAAGTAATCAATATTTTCCGCGCCTAGAGAGAGAAGGGGGGGAAGAACCCAGTAAAATTACAAGATGATATGAAATATATCGTCACTATATCTACGGACACAGGTGAACAGGTTCGTCGCGCAGCTAGGTTTTTTTATAAGGATCGTTTAATAATTAACCTACGCGCTGCATGGAGCAGAAAGTGGGCCATGTTCTGTACACAGAAAGAGACCTAAAAGATATACAACCCAGTTATGTTATAGGCTTGGGAGAGATAATACATATATTATATATATAATGCATGTGAATATAAATGATGCGCGCACACTGGAATCGGAATTCCGTATAGGAAGCGTACTTCATTTAAGAGGAGGAGGAAGGGGTTTTCTGGTAGATGGGATCGGTTTTGTAGTTCGGAGGATATGAATATGGACAAACAGTGTGTGGTGGGGTTGCCTCTTTAATTTGATCGCACCAATAATATCGATCCCACCACGCTCCTTCACCTATTAATATTACTGCTCTTGCTCTTGTCCGAGACAAGGACCCTTTTTGAATTGTTTCAACAGTATCTGGTATGGCCTCGAAAGGTATATAAACTTGTTGTTATCTGCGTGCATACATATATATAACCCTCTGGAAATGGAGCCTGCATCAGGGACAATCAATCTGGACTCTCTTAACTTTTTCTTTGGTTTCAGCAGTCGATTGATGTCGAGGAGCAAGCTATATATAAATATATACTCCTCTGGTCATAGGCAGAGAAAGAAATTATTTTTTGTCTTATTTATAAGTCATTTCATTAAAGTTTTAATCTGAATGTAAAATCGTCTTTCATTTATTATACTGTAGATAGTTATATTTTTTGAAAGATTAGATATTAAATAGGAATTAAAAAAAAAAATTATATATTTTAATAAAAAATAATGTATTTTAAGGTTTTT